GCCCAAAACCTTATCCACATCCCCACCCCCAGAAAGCCCCCCCGAACTCCCGACCCCCCCCCGTCTCTTGACTGTCCCCTCCAGAACCTCCCTGCCCCTTCTCCGACCCCCTGGCCCCCATGTTGTTGGCCTTCGCCTAATGTCTCTGTGAACTTGCTCAGGAACGGCCGGAGCCGTTCGTCCCGGCAGGCTGGCTGGCAGGGGCGGAGGAGCGGGGGAGGAGCTCCAGACTGCCGGAGGCGATCTGTGAATGCAGGGAGGGAGGGAGGGATCTCTGCTGCAGGGGGAGGAGGGGCTCTCTCTGGCTGTCAGAGCCCCATGTAAGTGGCACCATCCAGCCGGCTGCCCTGTCAGCCGCACGCGCTCTGCATGGGGGGGGGAAGTCCAGACATTTACAAATTCCCCCCAGACGCTACTTTTAGCTCAAAAAGCCGGACATGTCCGGGGGAATCCGGACGAATGGTAACCCTATTTTCCCCTGACTTTTTCAGTCTATTTCTTGCTCTATCCCACTTTTCTTGGTTGTGGAACAGTTGTTCTCTTTTCCTTCTCTCTTCCTCTTCAGGTTTTTCCCCCTCTGGTGTTCCACATTCCAATCGCCCTGGGCTCTCCCCACCTTCACTGTCTCTCACATGCGTTCTTCAGCCTCATACCCCCAAAACCAGGCTCTTCCCTCCACCCCCCGATTACTGCCTCCCTGGGAAGATCCAGTAAACACAAACCACAGGTGCACATTCGCCTGGAATAGGCTGGTACCTGATGCTGGCTCCCTCTACCCAATCCACGTGGTCCTTGTTACACAGCCTCCACCCTGCAAAATCCACACGTGCCATTCTGCCTTCCCTCCCCCTCCCAGACTCTCTCCCCTCCCCACCACACATGCAGCCTCCTTCCCCTAGGCCTCCCCCTGCACCCACAGAGCGGCTCATTCTCCCTCCCCCCTCCAGTCCCCATCCATTCTCCCTCTCAGGCCTTCTCACTCTTCCTTTCTCACCCTTCTCCCCAGGCTCTCTTCCCCACATCCTGGCTCTCCACCCTCCACCCCAAAGGCCAGTTCCTCCTCTCAGCTTCCTGCCCCTCTACCTCCTGGTGATTCCACACCCCCACCCCAACATGCCCCTCAGGGTGGGGATGGCGAGTCTGGACAAGAGGCGGAAGCTCTGCCGTTCGCCCTTTCCCTGCAGGCTCTGCCGTCTGGTAGCAATAGGAGCTCAGTTCAGAGCAGCATTAATGGCCAGATTTCCAAAGGAGCTGAGCCCCGGGGTCTTCGGGAAATCTGGCCCTAGGCTCGTTCTAGTGGGGAGCCTTTTCATTTTTAACTCCCCAGGTGTACGGAAGCTGAGTCTGGGGAGGAAACGACATATCACCAGCAAGGGACCCCCCTCCCCCCAACCATGCAGCCTCCCAGCCAGGAGGGCTCTAAGCCTTGCCAGGGCACATGTGCAGCCCCAGCACACGTGGCTGAGTTGAAGCTTCCAACCATGCGCCACGAAACGGGATCCACCCTTGTGACGAGCCACAGTCACTGTGAGTGAGTATGGGGGGGGAGGGGGGCGCTTCTTCCTGGGCAGGCTCCTACAGTGAAAGGTGCTAATCACTGATATTGAGAGAGCCATCCAAGCCCACCGGGCTGCCCATGTGACCCGTCCCCATGAGGCTGTTCTCATTGTTCTCAGGAGCTGAGAGGTGACTTAGGAGCTCAGGATCAAGGGAACTCACCTGCTGGAATGAAGCCTCAATCAGGTTAGAAGGAAACATATTTCTGTAAGAAATGAATGAGACAGGAATGAATCAGCCTCATGAGCTTGAAAAGAAAGTGGAGAGCCTCTTTGCAGGATTAACATTCAGAGAATTAAGGCGAGTAAAGTACATTATGGCTCATGCTCATTCAGTTCGACTGATTCTACTGCCCCCTTTCCAAGTTTAAAGCAGGAGTGGAAATGGGATTGAAAAATCAAGTGATAACACGGCTGCTGAGCCAATTATGTAAACCCAGAAGCTAATGTTGTATTTCTGAGAACCTGTTTGCCATCCACCATAATCTCTCCACCGCCAAGAGGACAGCCATACAGTCCCTGAAATCTAACCACCAGATAGTGATTGAACCAGCAAAAGGGCCGCCACTGTAGTCCTCAACTGTGGTGATTATGTTAACGAGGCCAACTGACAACTCTCTGACACCAACTACTATAAAGAACTCAAAAGAGAGCCTACACCACAATTCACCCAGGAATTTAAGGACATCATCAAATTCTTCCCCAAACAACTCCAAGAGAACCTCTACAAACTCATCCCCATGAACGCACCCTAGTGACCTTCACACCTCAAGCCACTCCCCACACAAAGGGCCAGCTTCCTCCAGGACACAACAGGCTTCCTCCAGAAACTCTACAACATTAGCAGCCTGCCTCAGAACACCATCCTTGCCACCACCGATGTCACTTCCCTGTACACCAACATCCCTCACAATGACAGCATTGCTGCCTGCCTCAAATATCTACATGACAATGGACGTCCCTCAGAGATCCACCCCAAACACATCACCAAACTCATCCATTTCATCCTCACCCAATTTTACATTCAACAACAAACACTTTGTCCAAACCATGGGAGCAGCTCTGGGTACTAGGATGGCTCCCCAATATGCCAACCTCTTCATGGGCCACCTTGAAGAAGAATTTCTGGACAAATACACCACAAAAAAATGATATACCTGAGATACATCAATATTTTCATCCTCTGGACAGACTTAAACCCCCTCACAGATTTTCACCACAACTTCAACAACCACCACCCGTCCATTAAACTCTCTCTGGGACACTCCCACACTAGCATCAACTTCCTGGACACCACAATCAGCTTCAACAATGGAATCCTACAGACAACTATATACAAGAAACCCTCGATCACCACACCTATCTTCACATGTCCAGTAACCACCCCAAACCCACCAAGAAATCTGTTCTTTGCAGCCAGGCACTCACATACCACAGGATATGCTCTGAGGAGAACGTCTGGGATACATACCTTAACATGCTTGAAACCACCTTCACCAAACAAGGGCATTCCACCAGAGAGGTAGATTGCATCATGGAATGTGCCACCCAAATGCCTTGAGCAAACCTGCTTCAATACAGAAATAAAACCCCTTCTGACCCCACGCCCCTAGTTGTCACCTACCACCCCAGTCTGGAACTCATATAGGGTATCATCAAACAACTACAACCCATATTTGATGGGGACCCCATCCTGAGAGAAAATTTTCCTGAACCCCCACTTCTGACCTGCAAACACACTGCAAGGTCCCCACCAACTCAAAGCAGCACCAGACCCTGCCAGAACAACAGATGCAAAACCTGCAGACATCTCTCCACTGCTACAATGATCAACACCCCCCACAACACAGCTTTCAAGATCTATGGATCCTACACATGCCTATCACAACATGGAGTGTACCTCATCCAGTGCACTAAAAATGCCCCGAAAACAACTGTGTGGGTGAAACCAGACAATCACTACACTCTCGAATGAACTCTCACAGGAAAATGATAAAAGACAAAAACACCCCATCCCCTGGGGGTGAACACTTTTCACAAAGTGATCACTCTATGTCTGACCTATCAATCCTTATCTTCAAAGGAAACCTGCACAACACTTTCAAAAGGCGAGCCTGGGAGCTTAAATTCATTACTCTGCTACACACTAAAAATCACGGACTGACAAGAGACACTGGATTTAGGCCCTGTCTACACTGGCAAGTTTGTGCGCAGTAAAGCAGCTTTGAGCGCTGTAACTCCCGAGGTTACACACTGCCCAGCCACTTAGTGCGCGGAAACTGCGCAGATGCAGCGCTCTAAAAAACCCACCCCGACGAGAGGCGTAGAGCTTTCTGTGCCGGGGCTACAGCGCTGGGGTGCCAGTGTAGACACCGTGGTGATTACAGCGCTGCCATTGGCCTCCAGGACGTGTCCCACAATGCCTGTTCTCACCTCTCTGGCCATCGGTTTGAACTCTACTGCCCTGCCCTCAGGTGAGCAACCAGCAGCCCCACCCCGTACATTCCTTTGCAAATTTGAAAGTCCCCTTCCTGTTTGCTAGGTGATGCGTGCAGTGATCTCAGCCTATCTTTCCAAGTGGCCATGTCTGCTCCACGCACCAGGCGATCCCCCGCTTGGAGCAATGCCGAGCTGCTGGACCTCATCGGCATTTGGGGAGAGGAGGCTGTCCAGTCCCCACTGTGCTCCAGCCATAGGAATTATGATACCTCCGAACAGATTTTACGATGCATGACAGAAAGGGGCCATGACCAGGACACACTGCAGTGCAGGGTCAAAGTGAAGGAGCTGCGGAACGCCTACCACAAGGCGCGGGAGGTAAATCGCTGCTCTGGTGTTGCGCCCATGAGTTGCCAGTTTTACAAAGAGCTGGACGTGATACTCGGTGGCGACCCCACCTCCACTGCGAAGGCCCCTGTGGATACTTTGTTGGCTCATGTGCCAGTCAAGAGTGGACCGAGCCAGGAGAAGGCAATCTTGGATGAAGAGGGGGAGGGGGAACCAGAGGCAGAGGATGACTGAGAGGCCAGAGATGCATGCGGTCAGGAGCTCTTTTCTACCCTGGAGGAGGCTAGCCAGTCACAGCTGTTGGATGTTGGCGAAGCGCAAACAGGAGAGGAGGCCCCTGGTAAGTGGCTTTGATTTGGGGAATCGCTGAAGCGAGTTGTTGGGGGCAGGAGGGTTGCAGAAAGCAGGCTTGTGTCTGTATGATGCAGGTACCACCATATGCCTAGTCTGAGCAGCGGAACAGGGTGTTGATTGACTCCGTCACGTCACGGGAATCTGCCTCAGAGATTCCAGGAAACTCTCGTGGAGATACTGGGCAATCCGCTGCCGCAGGTTCCTTGGGAGAGCTGCTTTGTTTCTTGCACCATTAAGGGTAACTTTCCCGCGCCACAGTGCCGTCACGGGATGGGGGGGGAGGGGCAAGGGTGAAAGTGGACTGGTACAGGCCGGTACAGCATACCAGTAAGAAGCCAGTACCAGCCCGTATGCAGCCGACAATCGAATTTATACAACCTGTTTCCCAAATTCGAATTATCTAAATTCGGATTAATCCCGTAGTGTAGACATACCCTGTGTCTCAAAAGCTTGTCTCTCTCTCACCACCAGAAGTTGATTCAATAAAAGATATTCCCTCACCCACCAAGTCTCGCTAATATCCTGGGCTACAACTACATGGCATACAAACTATTTCTCTACGTTTCAGAATTAATTGAGCGCTTAATAACCTGCTCCTTTCATGTCACTGGCTGGACTCTGTAATTGTTCACTCCTGCCTGGCTGCCAGAGACAAGCCACTCAGAGCCCTTGCTAGAGTGGAAGGAAGATGGTGGCCAGGGTGCCCAAGACCCAGAGTGGCCACAGGGGTATTTCTCAGGAGAGGGAGGGCAGCTGACTCAGTGCATGCATGTGCGGGAGATGATGAGTTGATGGGGGGTGTTGGGGGGAAGGGAAGAATTAACTGACTTTGTTGGGGCTCACTCCTGCTGCATTCGTCGCAGGGCCCCCTGCCCGTGGCGAGTAAGGAGAAAGCAGAAGGCTGGAGCTGAGGGAGTGACTTCTCGGTGGCAGCTGGGGAAGAGCAGATCCCCCTCACTTCACTGACCGTAGACACCTGGGGTGGGATCCACGAAAGGCTGTAGACTTTGCAATACCGAGTGTCACAGCACCTAACTTTTGGGCACCTAGAAAATCACAGGCACAACACTGGGCTCACAAAGCCTGGGTTAGGTGCCTCGGTTCCTACATGATGAATGGGAGGGAGGTGACCCAGAGTTCCAGGGTCTGGGCAATGCCCCAGCCTGGAGCCAGTCTCTTGGACCCACACATCTCTGCAGGGGGAGCAGGTGGTGCTTGCAGCGCTCACCTGGGATGTGGGAGGTCCAGGTTCAGCTCCCCCCTCTCTGTCAGAGGGGAACCAGGATCCAGAGGTGGATTACAGATGTGTAGGGCCCTGGGCCAGAGCAAGTGGGGGCCCCCCTCCCCGTGCTCCTGCTGGGGAAATGGGGTCAGGGCGCGGGAGCTTCTCCTGCTCCCTGGCAGGAGTAGGTCAGGGCACAGGGGTGCCCATTTTTCCAGAGCCCCCCACTTGGCCGGGGCCTGTTGACCAATCCACCACTGCCAGGATCTGAACAGGGGTCTCCCCCATCCCGGCTGGGTGCCCAACCACTGGACTAGAGTGCGTCTCTTGCACTCCCCCTACCTTCCCCGCCAATAACTAAGTGTTTATCCACAGTGGAATGGCCATGGGGCCAGAGAGACTGGAAATGACTCTGTGGCCTGGTGGTTCGGGCCCCAAGGTGCAAGATCCTGGGGGGGGTCCAGTCCCTTCCTCCAGTCACTCTTTCGTGATTGATCCACAGTGGAACAGCTTCAGGGACTCCACCTCACAACATCCCCAGCTCAGTGGATAGCACACCATTCTGAGAGGTGGGATGCCCCTCTTCAAATCCTTTCACTCCACTGGCAGAGAGGGGGATTGAACCTGGGGTTGCCACACCCCAAGCGAGTGTGCTAACTACTGGGCTAAAGGTTATAAGGTGGGTCAGTACCACTGCCACCACCTCCTCCTCCAGCCAGATTTTGAATGGGACCAGATCCAGTAGACCTGCTCAGAGACCACATACAGATCGGGCTCTGCACACAACTTAGGGAGCCGAATGCCTGTCTCCCCCATTCATGACTTGTTCTGGGGCTTAGGGCAGGAGACAGGCGTCCGGATGCCTAGAGAGAGGCAGCAGCATGCACGCCCCACAGTCTAAAATTTGGGTGTCTACTGGCTAGGGAACTTTTACCGCAGAAATTGAGGTGCTGAGGGAGTTTAGGTGCCTACAGGGTTAAGCAGCAGCTGAGCAGGAGTTCTGTGGATCGTTATGGTGTTGCACAGAGGGGTTTAGGCACCTAAGTTGCTGCATGGATTGCAGTCAGAGTCAGTTGTCGTGTGAACAAGTCCACTCTGGGGAAGTTGTACCCACTTACTCCAGGGCTGAATTTGACCAATTTCTTCTTAAATGTTCTTTGAGACGTTAATCTTGTTAAAAGCTCATGTGAACTCATGTACAGTGTGACGAACTTGGCTGTAAACAATAAAACAGGACCTGTCGTTATAAAATCAGGGCTAGTCCAGAAAGCTGCTAGAGAGTACCTGATTAAATCCAGTAAGGCATCTGCAGAACTCAACACCACTTTGCCTACGGTATACTCCTCCTTTTGGGCAGCAGCACCTGGATCAATGTTGATCACAAGCACAATCCCAACAGTCACAGCCATGAATGTCGTCCAAAGATAATAGATGAGTGTGATCAACCCCATCTTCCCACAGGCCTTGGAGTCCATGGTGGCCAGGCCAGACATCAGGCTGAAAGAGAAAAGAACACATTCAGTGAACTCTCACAACTGAACTGCACAAGACATGTCTCTGGCAGAGACCGCCCGAGTCACCAGCTCCACGTGGTGCTTGCCCCAGCAGAGCCCGCACTGCCCATTAGATCTGCAGGGTGCTTGCCACCTGCCAAGGTCCTGAACTCCAATCCACTTAAGCTCACTGAGCTCAACCATCTGCTCAGTGCACAGGGCTGGACAAGGTGTTAGCTTCCGTTATGCTGAAACCAGCATCGTGTCAGCCATTATATCAATCACTGGGAGGCTTCCCCTGGGACTCCATGTCCAACGCTGGTCACGCCATTTGAAATGGGCAACAAAAATGGTTAGAATCCTGGAGAGACTTCATATGAGGCCTCAGAGACAAGAGAAATAAGCAGTGACATGACAGAGGATTAGATAAAGTAATCCATGAGTTCCTATTTACCTGCTCAGATTCTCCAGCCTGTGTTATGCAGGAAGTCAGACTAGATGATCATAATGGTCTATGACTCATAAATGAGACAGTCAGTGTAATTGAAAGGCAACAAATTTTAAGTGGATTTTAAAAATCCTGTAGAACTAATTGGCACAAGATATCACTGATGCCAAGTATTCAGTAGGATTAAAAAGAAGGGATTAGACATTTAATGAATCATAGGCGCCGACTCTGTGGGTGCTCTGGGGCTGGAGCACCCACAGAAACACTCACTAGCAGCCCCCCCCAATCAGCTCCTCCCTCTCCCCCCAGCACCTCCTGCCTGCCAGCAGGCCCCATCCATCAGCTGCTCCCTCTCTCTCCCAACGCCTCCCATCTGCTGCGATCAGCTGTTCAGCAGCGTGCAGGAGGCACTGGGGAGGAGGGGGAGGAGCGAGGGTGGGGCGTGTTCAGGGGCGGGGGCAGATCGGGGGTGGGAAGAGGTGGGGTGGGGGTGGGGTGGGGATGTGGTGGGGGCAGGAAGAGGCAGGGCGGTGGTGGAGTTGGGGCGGGAAGAGGTGGGGTGGGAGTGGGAGATTGGGGTTGAGTGGGGGTGGGGCTTGGGGTGGAGCACCCCCCAGGAACACAGAAAGACGGCGCCTCTGTAATGAATAATAAGAACACCCCCACTTACATGGGATAGGACAGAGAATTTATTAGAAAGTGAGCCTGTCTGCTTCAGGGCATAATCCAAACTTCCCCCAAAGGCAGGTTATTCCATAAATGTCACTTGTCCAGGTTTTTGTAATAGTTGGGCCTACAAATTTACCCTAATTGGGAGCTCAGCTATGAGTGGAACTTCCTAGAATGTCACAATAATGGGTAACAATAAATGTTAATGGAAAAAGGTGGGAAAGGGAGTCCAAACGCAAAGGCCAACTGCTAGAATCCAAGGACTGTGTTAAAATCCTGCCTGGTAAAGAAGAGACATGTGGGGCCAGAAAGCAATGGACCAAAATTGGTGTGTCAGAAATTAGGCCTAATTGGTGGACAAAAGAATGAAGGGCTGGGCTATCTGCCCACCACTCCCTTTGGGGCCTTAAAAGAAAAGACTTTGGGGGGTGGAATCAGGACAACGGTTGGCTCAGAAGCGGGAGGACTGGAAGGAGCAAGCTTCCCCAGCCTGGCTGCCATCGGAGGTGGTGCTAGCCCATGGGAGGCCTAAGCAGGAACATTTGGGGGCCCCTCTTACCCCTCCATCCACAAACCAAACAATCTTCCCAGCCCACACACACAGACACAGACACTTGTTAAAAAGTCCACGTTCAATAAGATGGATGGTATTTGTGGGTAATACTAAATCGGGGGCCAAGACTATATTTTGCAACACTGCTGTAAGCCTGTAAACAAAAAGGCAGCTAAAAGCAATAACCTGAGCAGCCCGGTACTGGTGCAGGTTTGCCAGGTCTCAGAGCAGCTGATCAGACCGTGGGCCATGCCCGCGTTTCTCCAGCAATAAGGATGCAAGTAAGAGAGAAGCTGCATTTTCTCTCAGAGCTGTTCTTTTCTCTCCCCTTTTGGGTTCCATTGTTTTATTTTCTAGGAAATGGGATCGGACTTTAACAGTAGCAGCAGCAGCAACAGCTCCAGCTCATCTCAACTATTTTTTTCTCTCTCACGCGCCCCAAACCAGGAAACTTATGACCACTTTTAATCCATCTAAAAGGCTAGCGAGATCAGGTGGGTGAGGTACACCTTGTCTCTCTAATGTCCCGGGCCTGACACGGCTACAGCTACACTGCATACATCTAAGAGACAGACTGCCAGGCACGGGTTTTTGTCCTTCTAAAAACTCGACAGTTAAGGGAAAGGAAGAAGGGTTGTTGCTCAAAGCCTTACTCAATACTTTACATTTTGAAGGCTTTAGCTGTTTTTCCTTCTTTTTCTCGATCTTTAATAAAAGGCCAGAGAGGTGTTTAGTCGTGTGTTCCATGGGACTAAGCCAGTTGAGGTCTCTGTACTCAGAACCCCACACTTGGTTTAAAACTTAGTGTTGTACAGTGACAGGGTCAGGTGAGCATCTTTGACTGCCTGCGTCCATTTATTCCACTGAAATGAATACAACAGGTTTCTTGCACCTTCTTCTGAGGCAGCTGGTGCTGCCTATCATCAGAAAAGTATCCGAGTCAGGAGGGATCCCATTCCCTGGTCAATAGGTGACTCTTGGGAGGGACACAAAGGGGAGGACACGTGACCTTCCCACGTGACTCCTCCCCGCCCCACCCCCAGCTCGGGGCCCCTGCGCTCTCCCCGTCCCCTCCCAATCCCACGTTACCCGGGGGGGGGGCTCTCTGTTCTCCTGCTGCGCTGGCTCCCCCCTGGCTCTTCCTGGAGCCACTCCTGGATGCTGCCCAGTGCAGCGCAGCGGCTGCCTGGGAGAGTGTCTGACTGCGGCAGCAGGCTTGGCATACAGGACAGCGGCTGAGCGAGTCGGAGCTCCCCCCGTCCCCTCCAAGGCATGCTCAGAGTCAGCTCCTGTCCCCAGAAGCTGAGCCTGGGCGGCGGGCAGCCTACTGCTGCCACAGCCAGGTGCTCTCCCGGGCAGCCGCTGCACTGGGCAGCGTGGTTGGAAGAGGAGAGGCTCTGGCCCTGCCTCTTCCCTTCTGGCTCTGCCCCTGCCCCTTCCTTTCCCTGCCCAGCCTGGCTGCTGGGGGCACTTGACCTTGCTGGAGGGGCACTTGGCCCTCCGTGCACCTACCCCGAGTCGCCGCTGCCAGAGGCAGTCTGGAATGTCCGTGTGCCTGAGCTCATCTTGGGTTACAGGAAAACTGAATGTTTCTGAATTCTGCAAAAGCCTTTTTTGAGCTCTCCCAATGGGCTTGTTTTTACCCGTCCAAACTCCTTGTACACTCAGGGCTGGTCTACACCGAACAGTTACATCTCCAGAGCGACGTTTCACACCCCTGAGAGACACTGTTACACCAACTAACCCCCAGTGCAGACGAATTGTTCCATCAACCTAGCTACTGCCTCTCAAGGAAGTAGACTACTACAATCTCATCGCTGTAGTAAGTGGCTACATTTACTGAAGCACTACAGTGGTGTAGCCAGAGCCTCAGGCCATGTCTACACTACCACTTATGTCGGCAAAACATATGTCGCTCAGGGGCTGCCTGAAACAGTAGCTCAGAGCAGTGCACTGTTTCCTCTCATCTCAATGGGGCTTAATTCTGAAACCCAATTCCCCTCCCCTGCCTTCTGATGTGCCAAAAGCCCCAATTGCTCCCCACCTAGCTGCCAAAACCCACAGCTACCCCCTTAAGACCTGTGCAATGCAATTCTGTGCTGTCAGTACAAACATCTGTGCCACATTAAAAAGCTCAGATCCACACCTCAATGAGTGCCCTACCCACTGGGTGGTAGAGTTAGTTTTTTATGCTCTGATCCAATTAGGGTGACCAGATGTCCCAATTTTATAGGGACAGTCCCGATTTTTGGGTCTTTTTCTTATATAGGCTCCTATTACCCGCCACCCCCTGTCCCGATTTTTCACACTTGCTGTCTGGTCACCCTAGATCCAATGGAATTGGTCCTGCTTTGAGCAGGGGGTTGGACTAGATGACCTCCTGAGGTCCCTTCCAACCCTGATATTCTATGATATTTAATTCTTTTTACAATATGGAACAGCTCCACCAGGAGACATTAAGAAAGCATTACAGAGACTGACTATAACCTGTTGATTGGACCTAGGTTCAAGTCTCAGCTCTGAATCAGGAAACTTTCTCTGGTTTTTGTCATGAACAATTTCAAAAGGTCTTGTGTTCATTCTGCATCAAAACCTCACATTTTTGGTGAAATGTAATTCTTCTTTTCCAGCCAGCCCTGTTCATTTCCAGACATTCTAACATTTGGGTATTTTAAAAAGATGATGAATTTTTGTAAAATAAGCGTACTCTTGGGTTTTGGTACTAGCTGAGCTCCATTCAAACACACTTTCAAACTTTCCTCATCTTTAACTGAGTTTTGGCTTGCAAAAGTAGCTTAAATGTATCCCCTGGTGCATATATGCTATTACTTTTTTAAAAAACCTGTTAAAAGAACATTATGATTGCCAAGTCAAGCACTCAAAAGTTAGGAAATACCAGAATTATGGTTTCCTGTGTAGCCTTAATTCTGTCCCCTTGTGTATATGAATTATGAGGCGTTTTTAATTACATGATCACATACTATTTCCCCCCACTATTTTAGCAGCAAGCCTGCAGCAAACTCTACTAAGGAAAACACGGATAGGAAACAGCGATTTTGGTAGTTTATAACTTGACCAAATCTGGGTGGATTTTTCATGGGAAGAGCAAAAGGCCCCAAGATTAACTCCCTGTCTAATTTCAAGCTCCTGATGTAAACATGGAGACATCCATTCTCTTAAAAAATAGTCAGAACAAAACGTTTATTATGGAAAATGATACAGAACCTAAATACAGGCGTCACTGCCATTCCAACAATGATCATTCAGGACTCCCTCCCAGAGGCTGCTGAGGACTGAAGGTAGAGTTGTGCAAACAAAGTGCTAGCACCGAATATGTTTGCTGTGTACCTGTGCAGAAAACATTCCTCACAAGGGCAGAAACGTGTGAACAATGCTCAGCAGTATAAATTAATCTCTACCAGTCCAATGTGAGGGGGGCAGAGGTGGAGACCGGGCTTGGTCAGGGCCCAGTACAATCAAAGGAGGCGCACTACATCAGTGTTGACCTTTGACCACTGACCTGATATTTAAAGGGGGCTATTTGGAATTAAAGCAGAGTTTAAATGCCAAAATGCTTAATATGAGCATTTAAAGCTGTAACAAAAGTAGGTGGCCACTTTACTATACATTAATGTTTTGGACAGGCTTTGCAATAAGTTTGGTTAAGGCTTAGCAAAGTCTAGCAGTTAAGCAATGAGAGTTAGCGTAAGGATTTCACTAAGGTTATAGGGATTTCTGCAACATGGATCTTGTGATAAACAAGCAAATCACAAAGAACAATTTATGTTTGCAAACAACTTTCTCGGGGATTCTTAGGCAAATGTACCCGAGAGGGCTAACCACATTCATGTGTTGGAAACTTATTGACACAAATAGCTTGGGGCAATGATCAGAATCCCAATTATGGTTTGACAGACAGCCATACATGGACAGGAGGCGGGAAACAAATTTCAATATGGTCCCCAGACATGTGGGTAGGGTGACCAGATAGCAACTGTGAAAAATCAGAACAGGCGGTGAGGGGTAATTGGCGCCTATATAAGAAAAAGTCCCCAAAACCAGGACTGTCCCCATAAAAACGGGACATCTGGTCACCCTATGTGTGAGTGTACGGAAAAAAGGGGATAAAATAAGATATACGCCCACCCTTTAGTTGGGCTCATTGGAATAATAAGCAGGCGGAAGCCCAAATGTCATTTCCACTTGTGAAGATCTCCACTTACTTTTTCTTCTGCCTTTGCTGTTACAAGTCACTATGAGGTTGTAAGTACGTCAGCTCTGGGAATTGTTCTGGCCTATACAAGCCATAAGATTGTAAGCACACACTATCCGGAGGGGTCGGGGGGGAAAGTAGTGGGTCGTTTTGTAATACCTGTCTTGCTCTATCTTACTTTTCTATTATTTCAATTAGACTTCTCTGAATGAAATAAAACTCAAAGTCTCGATGTGTGCTCCACCAATCTCATTTCCTATAATAAATTTACATAGCTGCCCGAGTAAAGAAACACTTATTAGTGACTGGTACAATTTACACTCTAAATTAACCAAAGGCTACCGCAGAGACAGAGAGCAACATCTTCAAAAGCAGAAGCAGTATTGCTGACTCGCATAATATTTGCTGCCTTTCTTACAGATTCAGCTGCTGGAATCATGTCATTACCTGATAATCTCAGTTTTCATTATAAAAGAAAAGTAAATTTCTAGCCCTTGTTTAGAGAAAAGCTAAAAAATGTGAATTTATGAAATCCAAAACCGGAAGACAAATAAAATTAATTAATTAGTGACTTGGATGTTTTGGAGTTGAAGACATTACGCAAGTCACTGTGGCAATTTTGAAATTTTTTCCCAGAGTCTGGGAAGTTTCACCCTAAAGAGTGAAAATTTCAGAAAGATAGGAGCAACTGAAAATAGGGGGTAAGAAAGGAAACTTGCTTTAGGTATGGCATTCACTGTTCCTGCTATATTGCAAAGAACTTTAAAAAGTCAGCCTTTAAACAGAAAGGTCTTCTCTACCTGAACTTTAGCAGAGCTGGCACGCGCTGTAATTATTTCTGTAATCTTGGCCCTGCTCCTGCAAACATTCAGGCCTGGTCTATGACACAGATTACGTTGACCTAACTATGTAAGTGTCTACACTAAAATTTCATTCCCGCCAACGTAACTGCCCCGCTGTGCTGACTTAATAACTCCACCTCCGTGAGAGGTGAAGAGTCCATGTCAAAGTAGTCAGGTCAACTCAGTGTCAGTGTTGACAGTGCGTTGCTGACATGGACTGTTACTGGCTTTCAGAAGCCACCCCACAATGCCCCACACTGACAGTATAATCGGGACAAGCGCTTCTGGTGAGGACACGCACCACCGATACAAGGAGCGTAGTGTGGACAAGCAAAAGTGATTTAATTACTGCAGCGGCTGCATGCAGAGGTAACATAGGTTGACATAATTTTGCAATGTAGACATGCCCTCAGGCATTTCAGTAATTGTACAAACTGACTGGGACTATTCATCTGCATAAGTTTTTGCGAGATCAGACCCTTAGATAAATATCCACCTTGTACGGTCACTGGATGGCTGTGTGCATAGATGACAAAAGGCAAACATGAAACTCATTTAGATGAACAGTACTAACTGGAACCAAAGATTAGAGAGAATCTTCCAAGGCAGTAGTATATCTTACATATACAGGGGTTTTCAATTCAAGTAAAAAGTGAAATCTTACAATGATTACATTTCTATCTGTCATGCTTCATCAATGTATGCAGTGGTGGTGTGGCTGTGTTGGTCCCTCTGCCCTTCCCCAGCACTGCTCCACCCTAGGTACCCTTCTCAGCTTCCCAGGCAGCCAGGTCCTCCTCTCTCAGGGAAGCTAGAGAGAATGGTTTTTTTTAGCCTCTGACCCTCAGCCCTCTTATAGGGCCGGCTGTGGCCTGATTGGGGCATGGCCCCACCTGTGGCTGCTTCTCCCAATCAGCCTGGCTTTTCCCCCGCTGCAGCCCTCTCCAGGGCTGCTTTATCCCCTTCAGGCAGGAGCGGGGTGAAGTACTTTCATTAAGTAAACCGCCTGTTGGAGTTTGTTACAGCATACTTAAAAATGGGCACAAATGTGCTTCTTATAAGTCATGCCTGAATTAATATCAATATATATGTTACAACGTCAATGCACAATCTACTGCTCCTTGGTTAGAGGGTGGGTTCAGGATCTGAGTGTCTCCCTCCATGAGGCTTTGTAAAGAGGATGGCTTGGCTCCTGTAAATACATTTCCTCAGCACAATTTCATAAACATGACTTTTTATTCTTAAAGTAAGAGGGTTGTTCTTACCTCGAAGTAATGAGGGGTAGAATCATCATTTTTAACATCCTCATAAGGAGCTCTCCAGGAAAAGAAAAGTATTGCTTCTCCTGTGTAAAGAACAAAGATTGATCAGGCAGGAGAATCAGCTGGCAAGATGTAAATAATGGAAATGTACACATTGTTCAAAGATACAAACATTACAGATTCTCATTCTTGCAACAGATCCATAATTCCAACTTCGTATCTTTTATTAAATCTGTTCTCTCCCCGTCGTCCAGAAATGATTGCTGAATCTTTTGGTCTTGTCTGGTTTTATGCTATATGGGGGGGAATGTACTGGGACTGGCAATATGGACAACAAATAGAGTGTAATAAAATGAAGGCAAAGCTGGAAAAGGATGTTAGACTACTGCACTTGAAGCATTGGAAGTACACTGTCCCCATGGTCCTGTAGCAATAATCAGAATCACTTTCTCAACCATCAGCTATTAGCAATATCAATTCCTGGACATTGTTGGTTATAGCTGTAAGTAGGGTCTGAATGAATTCTTCCCTGACAGCTAGCTGGGAGGGGGAGAGACTTCAAGAGCAAACTGTATTTACATGAACACACCTACTCTGCTGACATATCCAGCAGATAGAGTGGTGTATTGATCAAAGTAATCAACTTTGGCTGGTATTTGGTTACAAATCACTTTAGTACTGAATGCAGGGTAGTGAAATGCTGTTACCAATGTTGTTATTATTGTATGAATAAAGGGGAGCAGAACTATGCTTAACCTTTGCCAAATGAGGGGGTCACCCTCAGCTGAAAGGATCTTGTTAAGCCAGGGGCTCGAGTGCCAGAGCCCTGGGAAGGTAAGAAGGGTGGGGACAGGTGTCCTAGCCCGAAGGATTGTAGACTCTCCCCAAAGGTTCCCCTGGGTTGGTTTAACCTGTTCCTCCCCAGTGTTCAAAGAAAGAGCTAAGTAGGCTTCATTAGGAGCCTCTTTTGTTATTTTAAATGCTCTATCATTGAGAGCTGAAATCACTTGAGATGGGGCAGTGTCTCTCCCCAGCCTGCAAAGAGCTGAAAATCACTAAGAGACTGATCTGCAGAGGTCACAGCAGAGAGGCAGGTGGCAGCAGAAGGTGACTGACAGTCGGCTGGCGAATGAGTGGCTGGAGAGGCAGCGAGGTTGCTGCTGCCCGGTTACTGCTGGCTCCACCTGGCAGAAGGGTTACATACTATCAAGAAGTTGGGCCTTTACCTATCTTAGGTAAAACAGGCAATTGCAAGTGACATCCAGTGCACAAGTGCAGTTGTGCACAACCTTTTCACTAGTTGCCCAATGCACAAAATAAATTGTAGATCCACATGAGGGAGCAAAAGTAAACTGGTAAGCATGTTGGTCTGGTCATCTATGTATTCAAAACTTTAAGATGCAACATAGGCGTCAGCCAGTGTTCCAGGTACCAACCCCACGCATTAAAAACCATAACATGAACATGACTAAAGGACTGCCCATAAATAGATCTGCCTAAGTCCCCCTCCCCCAACATCCTTAATGAAGGAGAAACTAGGGGCTTTGCCGCATGCCTAGAAGAGTAACAAAACTGGAGTCTGGGGGACAAAGGCAGGGAGCAAGTTCCAAAACCAAGAACCCTGCCTGGACGACATCCTGCCAGCGGCTACCGCTCCTGTATACCGAGGGTGTTCCCGTGCCTCTGGTGACCTCAGCTGTGGCAGTGTGTCCTAGGGAGAGAGGCAGTTGCTCAGGTAACCAGGTTCCGTTTAGGGTTTTATAGATTAAAATCAACACCTTTAATTCCACTCTGAAGCTTATTGGACACCAGTGAATATCGCGGAGCACGGGTCTTATGTGTTCCCAGCATGAAATTCCACTTACCTGGGCTGCAGCATTTTTCACTAGCTTCAGTTTCTGAATGGTTTCAAGGTATAGTGCCATGTACAGCATTTTACAGCAATCTAATTTTGAGATGACAAAGGTCGGGATAACTGTGGCATGGTCAGTATTGGAGAAAAGGTCACACTTGTCTTACCAGGTGCAGATAAAGTGCTCTTCGCTGTGGCCACTACAGTGTCCTGCAGGTGCAACTCAGGATCTAACACATATTTAAGCACCCTCCCCGCCCATTTTAATCCAAGTGATAACCCGTGACACTAACCTGAGTCAATGAGTTTATGGGTCGGAAGGATGATTGGAAAGCTCAGCGGTCTGCTCTAATGCCATGCTCTCTTTTGGGTAAAAATAAATAAAATCCCAACAAAGCAGAAACATTTCATTCTGGCATTTTTGAACTGGAATGCTGACTTTTAGATTGGAAACAACTTTTCATTGAGAATTTTACTTCAAATTTTTATTTAATTGCTTTAAAAGGTCCCCTTCCCCCCTCCAAAAAAAACCACCCTTGAGAATGAAACAAAGCATTTTGTTTGACCCAAAACATTTTTTTCCTTAATTTTTTGTTCTGCCTTTGAACCAAAAAAGTTGATTATTTGCACGGCTCTACCCTGGAGGCCAGAGAAAGGCAGGCCAGGCCTTTCTCACAAAAAATGGTGTAGGAGGTGCCCCTGTGCCCAATAGCTCAGTGGTTAAATCTAAGTGACCTGATTTCCATAGGTCTGAGCACTCAAAACTCCTAGTGGTAGGTAAGTAAGAGACCCAGGTAAGTCTGTCTGACTCGTAGCAGGGAATTAAATGCAGCTCCCCCACTTCCCAGGTGAGTGTCCTACTCACTGGGCATTTTGGGCCTGGGGCTCTCGCAATCTCTCCTGTTGAAGCTTTTCCACTTTACATCAAATACTGAAATAAATCACTCTTCCTCTGTGGCATTTTGTGCAGGGCCTGATCTGCTAGACATGCTCCAAGGTGGTCTCGGAGAATACCTGCCCAGTCAGGGCCTTCAGGTGCTGAATGGCTCAGCCGCATCAAGACTTAGGTGGCTTTGCTCATGCTCACCAGCAGAAATCTAGGTGCCGAGAGGACTTTACCTGCAGAAACTTAAGCACCTATGGAATGTAGGCATCTGCAGAGTTATTTGGCAGCTGAGCAGGGGGTTGGACGATCTATATTTTGGATTTAGGTGCTTAAAGTGGCAGCTGGGTCCTAGGTACATCAGTTCCTTTGTGGATCTAGCCCTAGAATGGCTTGCTCAAGGTCAAACAAAAGTCCTGGAGTGCAGCAGGAAACCAAACCCAGGTCTCCCCAATCTCAGGTTAGTGCCCTACCCACTAGCCCATCCCTCCTCTAACATGCCTCACCTGTGTGCAACCTCCCCACGATAATACTGCTGCTGCACCCGGCCTTCGCCATTTCAGGAGTTTGTGATTTCAGCTCTGCCCCTGTGTCCCAGCAGTAATGCTGCCTGTGGCATTTACCTTATTTTCTGAATTAAAAATGAAAAAACTGGAGCTATTTGGTTTGCAATCCCCTTGCTCCATAGTAATTAATTTTACAAACTCCCTTGGAGTTGTAGCTACTCTGAACCAACCAGTGCTCACAGAGAGAAATGTACTTCTGTGCCCAGAGCCAGCACAGAGATTATGCACTATTGAAATCAAACTTCAGTCTAATTTTGAGGTCATAAACTGGGGCCTGGGGCTCGTGTTGTCCCTTTGCACAAAGATGAATTTCATCAACAAGCTGCAGCTCGTGACCTTTAAAGGGACTAAACCCACATGAGGCTCACGAGAGAAGGTTTTGAACCTACTATTGTTGCACATGCTGCTGATTCCTAGAACTGACAAAATTGAGTGTGGGGGGAACAAAATGTTCTGCTTTTCAGTTTCATAGAATATCAGGGTTGAAAGGGACCTCAGGAGGTCATCTAGTCCAACCCCCTGCTCAAAGCAGGACCAATCCCCAGACAGATTTTTACCCCAGTTCCCTAAATGACACCCTCAAGGATTGAACTCACAACCCTGGGTTTAGCAGACCAATGCTCAAACCACTGAGCTATCCCTCCCCCCTCTTTCATTTGTAGTTTAAACAGTGCTCTGTGTATTGTCAGTATCACGGAGAGCTGGTCAGTAACCTGGTCTAATCCCTGGCTATTAGGTGGAGACTCTGGCTTTCACCATCAGTCTCCAACTCAACAGTACCTCAGATTCCTCACAAATCGCAGGCACCATTAACACATGCCAGGCCCTCTCGCCAAGGGATCGTTGTCACAGCACCACAACTCTCTGGGGGATAGCTGTTGCCGATAACCTCCTTGCCCCATCACTGGGCTTGGAAGGATTAAATTTGTATCTGTAAACGCTCATAAACATGGATTTCACTAGACACACATAAGCCAACGAAGAAATATTTCCATTGCTAATAATCAACGTGTACAGAGAGGCAGAGAAAGCGAAAGAGAAATGCTGCGAGAACTTGTTCGGGGATATTTACTTTGTATATTTTGATAGGATGTTGGCAATTTGTGTTTTAAGGCTTATCAAGCTTTAACTTTTTGAATCTCAGCATCTACTGTCATTAAATTATTGTCTGACCCCACCCCCACATAATTTTGTGCAACTGTGAACATTTCAATCAATAAAAAAATAAAAAAATGCTTAATAATAAATGTCAATATGTGGTGAAATGATAAAAAAATAAAAAATCGACGTGTCCAGGCCTACTCTTCCCTGAGGCAGTCCTGCCCTGACAGCCGCTGTCACCAGTAATGCTCTTTGCCCCAAACGCTGACGGCCCACGGTACCAACAACCTGCCTCTCCCATCCCTGAAGGACTGCGGTCACCATAACCCTTCCCAACGTCTGCACTGCAGCACGGGGCCAGCCGACCTGGGCTCCTGGGGCTCAGAGAGTAGATGTCTGGGCTTGGCCTGGATCTTGGGCTCTGGGACCCTGAGACGGGGGAGGGGCTCAGAGGCTGGACTCCAGCCCCAGCCCCAGCCCCCTCCCCAACTCACGAGGGATGCTGTCATTGATAAACCCTCCCCAAAACTGACGGGTCAGTGTCACTGTTAACACCCCTCCCCGTTATTGAGAGACTGCTGTCACCCGCCCCCCCCGTCACCCTTCCCTCAGAGGTTGGTGTCACTGGGGATCAATCCCCATCCCCTGTCACTGAGGTTTCCGTGTTCCTGCTACACCCCTGGCACCGCTCACCCATTCCTGGCCTGCTTCAGGGCACCGAGAGAGGCCCCCACTCAGGTTTCAGGCCTCTAGGCATCAACGTTCTCTGGCAGAAACTTGCATC